AAACCTCTGTCTCCTCACCCAGTGGTCAAAACCAGCTACAGTCCCAAGCTCAACGTCAGCAGGAAGCTGTGACCTCCCCTTGGGGGAGAAGAGAGGGAATCGTTGCTGAWTGACAAGTTCACTTTATGACGAAAAGGTGGAAGACGTAGAAGGAGCAAATTAAAATTCTTCTCGGCCTGAGGAACTTCCRGATCCTAGAGTCTAAACATGGACGTGCAACTAAGGACCTTCTGGTTCTGGGGGCCTAAACATGGGCATGTGCCTGAGGCACTTCGGGATGCTACAGCCTAAACATGGAGGACTGAGGAACTTCCGGATCCGAGGGCCCGAAGATGGACGTGCGCCTGAGGCACTTCCAGACCCGGGGGCTTAAACATGGATGGGCACCCAAGGAACTTCCGGATCCGGGCGCATAAACATGGACGTGCACCTTTGGAACTTCCGGATCCGGATCCAGGGGCCTAAACATGGATGTCTGAGGCACTTCCGGATCCGGGGGCCTAAACATGGACGTGTCCCTGGAACTTCTGGGTCCTTGTGCCTATAAATAGCAGGGCATGACTCTCAGAAGGGACGTGGCCCATGAAGGGGAGCTGAGTGTGGGGCCTGTTGGGGGCAGACTGAGCTGTCACACCCTGAACTTGAATGTGACGGTGGCCTCACCTCCAGGCCTTCCCCTGGGTGTCACTTCCTCCCCTTCCAGGCGGTGCCCGGGAGGAAGTGGGACCAGGCCGTCTTTCTCTGGGGACGGGGACGTCTCGTGACACTGGCTGCCTCCTGCATCCCTGCCCCAGGACCTCAGGGACCACAGGCGGGGACAGTCGTTGATTCTCCCCTGGCCGCTGACCCTCAGCCCYGGGGTCTGCCCAGGGAGAGCTCTGTCTCCCAGAGGGTCAGGGGGCCCCTGTGACCTGCTGCTCCTTACCCACCGTCATCCTGGGCGAGCACAGGGCAGGACACCAGACGCTACTGAGTGACATCTCCTGGATGGGCGGCTGGGGACTTTGCCTCTGTCCCCAGGCCTCGGACACTGGATGATCCCCCTCAGAGACAGACAATAGCCCCACACTGCCCAAGACTTATTTTAAGCTTTGGATTCTGAAAATTTCCTGCTGCCACCTTCTTTGTGAAGCCAGTTTTTCAACAGAGACAATATTCCAGGGGAAAAAAAATACAACATGGAGTCAATCAAACCAAGCTGACCCATCTGGTCCTCCCAGAGAAATCTGGACTGGGGGGGAGAAGAGCCATCCTCAACTGGCGAAATAGTGAAGTCCCCTTGTCCTTATTTTGTGTAAGCAAAACAAATAATCTGATGTTAACTCATTGAATTATTTTTGACGAGTGCTTGGATCATAGAAAAACTGATTCTGTTTTATGGAATGAAGTGTTACCTGATTTTAAAATGTAAAATGAAGCCAATTAGGATTGTTAAAAAAATAAAATAAAATTCTTCTCACTCTGAGAGCTGGAGGAGGACTGGCCCTCGTGGTGGGGCTCACTCCTGTTCTAATCAAAGTTGGGGATCTTTTAGCCAGAAACAGGGTGGTGAGCAGAGGTTGGGGGACTGGCTGCTGGTGGGAGAGATGAGTGTTTGCTACGTTGCCTGAGCCCCTCCCTCCTCCACAAGTTGCTTCCTTTAGTCTTTATCTTTTTTGGCTTTTTTCCCCCCATTTATGTTTATTAAAAGAACACACGACCTTAGATGCTCCTCTCTCTTTCCCCCTTTCACTGATAAATCAGCAACTTTTTTTTTTAAATTTTTTAGTACTGGGGATTGAACCCAGGGGCACTCGACCACTGAGCCCCATCCCCAGCCCTATTTTGTATTTTATTTAGAGACAGGGTCTCACTGAATTGCCTAGAGCCTCACCATGGCTGAGGCTGGCTTTGAACTCGCGATCCTCCTGCCTCAGCCTCCTGAGGCATGTGCTTCTGCGCCCAGCAACTATCAGGTTTTTATCCTAAAGTATCTAAT